GGGACTCGTGTCGAGCATCCCTGTTTCGAGTGCAAGTGGAGTTCTGATTGATGGAAGATGCTTCAATCCAAGGACGTTGAGCTTTGGAAAATCCCAACTTCGTGAAGCCCTGCTTAAGGCTTTAGGCAGATCCCTTAGCCGGGGCTACTTGGAGGACCCCAGGGGACATAGCAATCAGTTATGTCATAGGCAGCGCTATACTTCAGACCCTCAACTCTCAACGCAAACCTTGAAACCCAAGCCCTAATATAGAAGCCTAAATAATTACGCACATTATTCCTTGGGGTTCCTTGTTTCATTTTTACTATCAAAGGAGCCCAAAACCCTATTCTAATTATTAACCTTAAACGTCTTTTTCTCATAGCTCTGCTAGGCTACTTACCAAGTCACCCGATCGAGATCGTGGGGTCGGCTGAGCTCTGCGCGGCATTTCCTGTGGAAGTTAGAGAGCCTGAGGTTAAGAGATGAGGGTTTTGGTCTGGCGGTTTTGAGTTAGAGAGCCTGAGGTTTAGAGGTGCGGGTTTGGTCTGGGGGTTTTGAGGGTTTTGGGCCATTTCGGTGTTGGGGTTTCGGGTTGTAGAGCTTCTTTGGCTCCTCTAAGAGACCCTTAATGCCAGAATGAAGCCCTCTAGAGCCCCTCCCCTAAAACCCTAGGCCCTAAGACCCTTAACCCGGGAATCCGAAACCCCCAAACCCTAAGAGCCCTAAACCCTAAGGCCGACCTTTCTTCGGCGGATAAACCCTCAGAGCCCTGAGCCCTAAAACCCCAAGCCCGAAAATCCGAAATCCTAAACCCGTAGACCCCTAACGGCGGATAAACCCTTTGGAGCCCTCCTCAGCCGTAAGACCGACCCGCCGCAGAGGATGCGGGCTGCTCGCTTCTCCGCGAGATGAGCGGCCTGGTTTCATGGAGCGCGAGGCTTCTGCGGCTCGGCGACATTCGACTTCCGGTTCTGGCTTGGGATTCGCTCGTTTTTAAGATATTGCGTTTGAGATCATACTTTGTTTATTAATCTTTTTTGATATTAAGATTATATTATGGTTCAGTATCGTATATATTATATTTATAGTATAGCACACCGTATTGTAACTGCTCCATTTGAGGGTTTAGGGTGTCTTGGACTACCGATCCTCCGCCTCCTTCTTCTTCTTCTTCTTCTTCTTTGTCTTCCTCTTCTTCTTGTTCATTGTTAGTTTCCCGCGTTTCTTTTATCAGGTTTTGGATGCGGTAGCGGTAGTTTTTGTTTCTGTTGTTGTGGTTTCGTATGTTTTGCTTTGGGGTTTAGGGCGTACAGTTGTATAGTTGGGGGTTTGTCGACGCTTACAAGCAACTTTGAAGTTGAGGGTCCATGGATATTGTTTAGGGTTTTGGTCGCATCGAGTTTGCCGGAGCGATGAGTAGTCGGGGTTTTGCACATTTTCGAATTCACTCGTTTCGCCCTTAGAGTGCGACCAACCGGAGGGCTGAGTTTCTGAACTCCCGAAGCCTCAAAAACATGAAACCATGATAAACCCCAAACCATAAACCCTAAACCCCCAACCCTAAACCCTTCTGAAAGCCTAAACCCTAAACTCCAAACCCCCACAGGGACCCTCAAAGGAACCCGAGGCCCCCCCCCGCCCCCCCAACCTTCCCCAGACACTTCAAGGTACCCTAAACCCGAAACCCTAAACCCTGATCCCTCAACCCTAAACCCTGATCCCTGATCCCTGAACCCTGAACCCTAAACCCTAAATCCTAAACCCCAACCCCTAAACCCTGATTCCTAAACCCGAAGCCTAGGTTGCTCCTTCTGCCCTTGAGCGCCGCGGAGCGCTCAGACGAATCGCGATTAGAGCTCGACGAGGCGCGCCTTCTCGTTTTTTTCAAAGGTTGCTACCGGTTTTTGTAGGCATTGAGAGTGTTTCCCAGGTTTTTTCAATTGGGTTTTATAGGTTTTGTTTTGCACAGGGTTGCAGAAGGGGCTTGTAGAGTTCTTATGGGGTTCTTTGAATTTCCTCGACGAGGGATTGTAGAGAGGGCTTTGATGGAAGGTTTGGGCTTTCGGGCTTCAGGGTTTAAGTGTAGTTGGGGCTTGCCGGCCGTCACCTGTTTAGGAGAGGTTGTAGGACCACTAAGCCTAAACGGTGCATGGGGCTGATGTGTGGTGACTCCGCTAGTCTGGCGTGCTTGGGTTACGAGGTGGCGGCCACGCATCCCACGCGGCTGCTACCGGGCCACCATCAGGCCTCAAGCTTTTGTTGCTTTGGGGCTTTTAGGGTTTAGGCTTGGCGGTGGCCTCTGGATCGTGATGATGAGAGCAACACAAAGCTGACAGGTCTCGGGTTATGCGGGTTTGGCATGCTGGCTGAACCCCAAGACCATAAACCCTAAACCCTAAACCTTAATAAAATCTCAATTGCAGAGGCCTTGTGCCTTCAAACTGCAGCCTTCAGCTGCCAAGCCCGAAGACAAGGAGTGCGGTGTTACAGTACTTCCCCTGCCATGTACTGCCTGGGAGCCTCCTCCCAAGCCCCACAACGTGTAGCCCTAAACCCTAAACCCTAAACCCTAAACCCTAAGCCCTAAACCCTAAACCCTAAACCCTAAACCCTAAGCCCTAAACCCTACACCCGAAACCCGAAACCCTAAACCCGAAACGGAAAGGCTGAGCCTTGCTTCTTGTTTGGGAGGTCCACCACCGTCACAAGCGGCATCCCCATGAGTGGCGGGCCTTGATCGCGAACATGTCGTCAGCCCCTGGGCCAGGGTGAAGAGGGGGCTTGCTCTGCTAAGGCTATTGGGCTTGGGGGCTCGGGCATTTAGGTTTAGGGGTTTAGAGTTTAGGGTTTAGGGGTTTAAGGCTTAGGGTTTAGGGTTTAGGATTTAGGATTTAGGCTCCTGGGCCGGGGTGAAGAGTAAGAGGGGGCTTGCTCCGCTTAGGCTCCTGAATTCGGGCTCGGGCATTTAGGTTTAGGGGTTTAGGGCGGGTGGTTTAGGGTCTAGGGGTTTAGGGGTTTAGGGTTTAGGGGCTTAGGGCTTAGGGTTTGGGGTTTTAGGCGCAACAAGGGAGATCGCAAGAGGTCGATGTCCGCCTTCCGGACCGAGACCTCGAAGACCGATGTTGGAGTATCCGCCTGCTGTACCTCTTGGCTCTGGGCGTTTGCCTTCTAAGCTTCAATCTGAACCCCAGGATAGAACTCAAAAGCCCTCCGCCCCCTCCCCACAACCCAGGGACTCAACAAAATCCGAGCCCAGGCTTCCGTTCTGCAGTCCCGTGCGCAGCTGGCGTCGACCGTGCAGGTCCATATGATGCCTAGCATGGAATCTCGGCCCCAGAAGTTTGCTGGTTGACGGCTGACGAGGATCCCCGAAGTATAGCATTCCTCACTGAAAGGGCTAGTTGGGTAGAGGGTAGTTGGGGGCTCTAGGTAGGAGCTTCATAGGGTTTCTAAAAGTTTAACATAGGGGCCTGATTAATTAGAATAGGGTTTTGGAGGTTCCTTATTATAATGATAGTATAATAGACCCCTAAACCCTATTCTAATTATTCAGGCCCCTATATTATAGAACCCTTATAGTAACCCTTCTTGTGTCCCTTTTAAGGAACCCTTTAAAGGAACCCTATTCTAATTATTAAGGCCCCTACATTCAATTTTTCGACGGCCGGAGCTCTGAATCCGAACCCTCACGCCTTTTCTGCAGCTCCGAAACCCGAAACCCTAAACCTTAAACCCTCAAGCCTAAACCCTAAACCCTAAACCCACACCCCTAAACCCTAAACCCTAAACCCTAAACTCTAAACCCTAAACCGGACCGAGGAGGGGATGGGCCAGGTGATGAAGATCCTGGCGCTCTGTGCGGTGTTAGGACCCGTTTTTTTTTTGGGGCCTTGGGTTTGAAATTTAGAGGTTCGTTTTAGGGTTTAGGGTTTACGATTTAGGGTTTAGGGTTGCTGGCATATTATGTAATGGCTTTCGGGTCTGGGGTTCGGCGGTTGAGGTATTCAAGACGCGTCCGACTACTGTCTATTTGGTCGTCTCAGGGCCACAGGTCGGTGTTGGCAAGTTCCGGGGGGCACGAGTCGGGCTTGAGGGCTTAGGTTGAGGGTTTGGGACTTTGGGCTGGAGAGGTTCGGGCGCCAGGTCCCACAGACCAGAAGCCCGATCCCCTGTGAGTCCGAAATGCCACAACCTCGAAGCCCCAAAGCAATGCCTTCCGAAGGAATCGTTTACAAGATGGTCAGCGGCGTGTGCCTTGCCTTGGGGTTGGGCGTATCTGTGATTCGAGGCTTTTGCTGCAGGAACTGTCTTGCTAGAGCCGGCAGGCCCAGGTCCAAGAAGCCTTGCGTCGAATAGGCTTTGGCGGTGTCTTTCTTGGGCTTTCGGAGTTGGGTCATTTTCGGGTTTAGGGTTCGACCCCAAGCTGCGCATCTTCTTTGAAAGCCCAGCCCAGGTGCGCCTCGCGCAAGTGCGACTGCCGAAGGCCCCCGGGGGGCATGGGTCACAAGTTCCTCAGTCGAGCCAACTTTTCTTAAATGACGTGGTTGTGACCCCTGATCTTCGACAGCATGAACCTGAACCCTCAACCCCTAAACCCTAAACCCTGAACCCTTACAGTAATTAGGCGCCGCTAAACTTTAGTCCAAGACGTAATATCCTAAGCTCCTCAATCCAGAACTCCCTTCCGTGAGCCCAGGATTCAGAAGCGCAGCGTTTTGAGACTCTCTGGTCCAAGGTTAGGAGCCTCAGGGCTTTGTTCTTCTTCATCACGCGTGTCTTGACATAGAACTCAGAACCCCAGCCCCAAGTCCTTGTTGTAAATCATCAAAAGATGATGCAGACGGTATGGCTGAGGGTTGTGGTGAACCTAGACAGGCTGCAGGGCTTGCTTCTCATGTTGCATGCTTGGGTCGGGGTTGCGATTTCTACGTTTCGGCAGTGGGAGGTAGGTGTCAGTGTTCAAAGGGTTGCGGTTGGCTTCGGGCTCTGGGAGTGTCTGCACGACAGCCGTTCACAAGGCTCATAAGGAGGCGATGCATAGGCCCCGAAGGTTTCAAAGAGCCTCCTTCGGCATGCCTCCGTGGCTGGAAGGCCCCGTCCGGCGTAGCAGGGGCTACGCTCGGAGGGGTGGCCGCCTCCTCCCTATGTCCCCCTTCGCTCTCCTCCTCTTTGCTTTCTTTGCTTCTGCTCCGGCTCCGAACCTCTCTCCTCCCGGCTGGTGGTGTCGGGGCTTCCCAAGAAAACGATATGGCAGCTTCGCGGAGGTGGAGTTGCTGTCGCAGCTGGGCGCACTGCTCTGTCCCGAGATGCCCTTGGAGGAGATGTTTCGAAGCTTTCCTGGGAAAGACCTGCCGGACTGGGGAGGCCACTACTTGAGCCCCGACCTCGTGCTTTGGGGTGTTCTGAAGGATCCGGAGGCCGCGCTCTTCATCGAGTACGACGGTTTCTATCGCCACTTTGAGCCTCGGGGAGTCGCAGCAGATAGGCGCAAGACCAGAGCCCTGCTGGCCTATGCGCCGGCCGGTTCTCGCGTGCTGCGAGTGAGCCATGAGGAAAGGGAGGTAGATGATTTGGCGGAATCGCTGGTGATATCCTCGTGGTGGCCTCAGCATAGGAAGTCCCTCACCGCGTCACTGCTGGAAGTCGTGCAGTTTTTGCTGGGTGTGCCCTCACTTGGGCTCCGTCCTGATCTGGTTGAGGATCTCAAGAGATGCCGAGAGAAAGACTTCCGGCTGTCGGAGGCAGCATCATTATTTTCATGCAATGCTACACTGGCAGGTAATCCTGGTGCAAAGCTAGCAGAGTTGAAGGACTTTCTGATTTCACGGGGTTTGGGCGAAGGGGAGGTTGCCAAGGCAGTTTTAAGATTTCCAAATCTTCTTGGCTACA